TTATATCTTGTTGTATATCAACAACTATCATAATCCAGCCTCTCAGATTGACATTATATCTTGTTGTATATCAGCAACTATCATAATCCAGCCTTTCAGATTGACATTATATCTTGTTGTATATCAACAACAACCATAACCCAGCCTTTCAGATTGACAACATATTGTGTTGTCTACCAACAACAACCATAATCAAGCCTCCCAGATTGACATTATTTCTTATTGTTATCAACTTCAACTATAATCCAGCGTCTCAGATTGGCATTATATTGTGTTTCCTTATCAACAACAACCATAATCCAGCCTCTCAGATTGATATCAAATTAAGTTGTCTACCAACAACCATAATCCAGCCTTTCAGATTGACATTATATTGTGTTGTCTACCAACAACAACCATAATCCAGCCTCTCAGATTGACATGATGTCTTGTTATCTATCAACAACAACCATAATCCAGCCTCTCAGATTGACATGATATCTTGTTGTTTATCAACAACAACCCTAATCCAGCCTCTCAGATTGACATGATATCTTGTTCTATATCAGCAATTATCATAATCCAGCCTCTCAGATTGACATTATATTGTGTTGTCTATCAACAACAACCATAATCCAGCCTGTCAGATTGACATTATATCTTGTTGTCTATCAACAACAACCACAATCCAGCCTTTCAGATTGACATCAAATTGAATTGTTTATCAACAACAACCATAATCCAGCCTCTCAGATTGACATAAAATTAAGTTGTCTACCAACAACAACCATAATCCAGCCTCTCAGATTGACATTATATCTTGTTGTCTATCAGCAACTATCATAATCTAGCCTCTCAGATTGACATTACATCTTGTTGTCTATCAACAACAACCATAATCCAGCCTTTCAGATTGACATCATATTGTGTTGTCTATCAACAACAACCATAATCCAGCTTTTCAGATTGACATCATATTGTGTTGTATATCAGCAACTATCAGAATCCAGCCTCTCAGATTGACATTATATTGTGTTGTCTATCAACAACAACAACCATAATCCAGCCTCTCAAATTGACATTATTTCTTGTTGTCTATCGACAACAACCATAATCCAGCCTCTCAGATTGACATTATATTTTGTTGTCTATCAACAACAACCATAATCCAGCCTCTCAGATTGACATTATATCTTGTTATATACCAGCAACTATCATAATCCAGCCTCTCAGATTGACATTATATTGTGTTGTCTATCAACAACAACCATAATCCAGCCTCTCAGATTGACATTATATCTTGTTATATACCAGCAACTATCATAATCCAGCCTCTCAGATTGACATTATATTGTGTTGTCTATCAACAACAACCATAATCCAGCCTTTCAGATTGACATTATATCTTGTTGTCTATCAACAACAACCATAATCCAACCTCTCAGATTGACATAATATTGTGTTGTCTATCAACAACAACCATAATCCAGCCTCTCAGATTGACATTATATTGTGTTGTCTATCAACAACAACCATAATCCAGCCTTTCAGATTGACATTATATCTTGTTGTCTATCAACAACAACCATAATCCAACCTCTCAGATTGACATTATATTGTGTTGTCTATTAACAACAACCATAATCCAGCCTCTCAGATTGACATTATTTCTTGTTGTCTATCAACAACCATAATCCAGCCTCTCAGATTGACATTTTACTGTGTTGTCTACAAACAAAAACCATAATCAAGCCTCTCAGATTGACATCTTATTGTGTTGTCTATCAACAACAATCAAAATCCAACCTCTCAGATTGACATCATATCTTGTTGTATATCAACAACTATCATAATCCAGCCTCTCAGATTCACATTATATCTTGTTGTATATCAGCAACTATCATAATCCAGCCTCTCAGATTGACATTATATCTTGTTGTATATCAACAACTATCATAATCCAGCCTCTCAGATTGACATTATATCTTGTTGTATATCAGCAACTATCATAATCTAGCCTTTCAGATTGACATTATATCTTGTTGTATATCAACAACAACCATAATCCAGCCTTTCAGATTGACATCATATTGTGTTGTCTACCAACAACAACCATAATCAAGCCTCCCAGATTGACATTATTTCTTATTGTTATCAACTTCAACTATAATCCAGCGTCTCAGATTGGCATTATATTGTGTTTCCTTATCAACAACAACCATAATCCAGCCTCTCAGATTGATATCAAATTAAGTTGTCTACCAACAACCATAATCCAGCCTTTCAGATTGACATTATATTGTGTTGTCTACCAACAACAACCATAATCCAGCCTCTCAGATTGACATGATATCTTGTTGTATATCAGCAACTATTATAATCCAGCCTCTCAGATTGACATTATATTGTGTTGTCTATCAGCAACAACTGTAATCCAGCCTGTCAGATTGACATTATATCTTGTTGTCTATCAACAACAACCACAATCCAACCTTTCAGATTGACATCAAATTGAATTGTTTATCAACAACAACCATAATCCAGCCTCTCAGATTGACATAAAATTAAGTTGTCTACCAACAACAACCATAATCCAGCCTCTCAGATTGACATTATATCTTGTTGTCTATCAGCAACTATCATAATCTAGCCTCTCAGATTGACATTACATCTTGTTGTCTATCAACAACAACCATAATCCAGCCTTTCAGATTGACATCATATTGTGTTCTCTATCAACAACAACCATAAACCAGCTTTTCAGATTGACATCATATTGTGTTGTCTACCAACAACAACCATAATCCAGCCTCTCAGATTGACATTATTTCTTGTTGTATATCAGCAACTATCAGAATCCAGCCTCTCAGATTGACATTATATTGTGTTGTCTATCAACAACAATCATAATCCAGCCTCTCAGATTGACATTATTTCTTGTTGTCTATCGACAACAACCATAATCCAGTCTCTCAGATTGACATTATATTTTGTTGTCTATCAACAACAACCATAAACCAGCTTTTCAGATTGACATCATATTGTGTTGTCTACCAACAACAACCATAATCCAGCCTCTCAGATTGACATTATTTCTTGTTGTATATCAGCAACTATCAGAATCCAGCCTCTCAGATTGACATTATATTGTGTTGTCTATCAACAACAATCATAATCCAGCCTCTCAGATTGACATTATATCTTGTTGTATAAAGGTCGGTGGTTTTCTCTGGGCACTCCGGCTTCCTCCACCAATAAAAACTGGCCTCTCAGATCGACATCAAATTAAGTTGTCTACCAACAACAACCATAATCAAGCCTTTCAGATTGACATTATATTGTGTTGTCTACCAACATCAACCATAATCCAGCCTTTCAGATTGACATTATATCTTGTTGTCTATCAACAGCAACCATAATCCAGCCTCTCAGATTGACATTATTTCTTCTTGTCTATCAACAACAACCATAATCCAGCCTCTCAGATTGACATTATTTCTTGTTGTCTATCGACAACAACCATAATCCAGTCTCTCAGATTGACATTATTTCTTCTTGTCTATCAACAACAACCATAATCCAGCCGCTCAGATTGACATTATATTGTGTTGTCTATCAACAAAAACCATAATCCAGCCTCTCAGATTGACATTACTTCTTCTAGTCTATCAACAACAACCATAATCCAGCCTCTCAGATTGACATTATATTGTGTTGTCTATCAACAACAACCATAATCCAGCCTCTCAGATTGACATTATATTGTGTTGTCTATCAACAACACCCATAATCGAGCCTATCAGATTGACATCAAATTGAATTGTCTATCAACAACAACCATAATCCAGCCTTTCAGATTGACATCATATTGTGTTGTCTATCAACAACAACCATAATCCAGCCTTTCAGATTGACATCATATTGTGTTGTCTATCAACAACAACCATAATCCAGCCTCTCAGATTGACATTATATCTTGTATATCAGCAACTATCATAATCAAGCCTATCAGATTGATATTATATTCATTTGTCTATCAACAACTACCTTAATTTGTTTTAGGAAGTAGTTGTTGATTTGCTGAAGGAATGGAAAAGTGAGCGCCCTGAAGACAACTTCCATCTTCGTCTTAAGGGAGATCATCTGGAACCAGAAAATGACAGTAGGTGTAACAAATTATTATATCTATATTGTCTTTAAAGATGTTAATCTTTTGTGTGTTACTGTATGCTAAGTTCAGATTGGATACAAACAGGAAATAATATAAAAATTGTTTAGTCAAAATAAGTATAATTCTATGTCTCTTTTTCCTCTCCATTATAGGATAAAACGCCTTTTTAAAGGAATTTATTGGTGTATAAACTCAACCAATTCACTCACAAACATGTTTGTGAGTGAATTGGTCGAGTTTATACGCCAATAAATTCCTTTAAAAAGGTGTTTAATCCTTATAATTCTTAAAATAGGAGAAAAGGAATTTATTTTTTCCACACTCGTAAATTGTATATGTGAGTCATTGAGTTGGCCTGGCTCATGAATATATTTGTTGGTTACCGCAAAAATATGTACTCCATGAAATTTGCTCTCTTATACAAATTTACTACAAAAACTCTTCTTTATCATGCAAATAAATGTTGTGTGTTTATTATCTAAATTAACGATTAACGCGAAATGAAAATAAATATGATAAAGTCGAGCCGGATTGTGTTATTATCGCCGCCATCTTGTTTACATTGGTTACAAAAAGAAGTTTGGTCAACGTTGTCTATCTAAAAATAAACAACGTCAAGAACATCTACCGGAAGTCCTCGCGACCAATCAACGTATTCCCTAATATGCAAATCATATAAGAATTATGTAGTTGTAAAGAGCATTGATATTGGACTATGACATTATGTGAAGTTTATATAACATTATGAATATTAGATGCTTCCATATTGTGGGTGTTTAAATAAGACAAAATTTCTGAAAAAGGACACAAACATGTAGTCTATATACTTCAATTTTAATTTCAGACTCAGACTTGGAATTGAATCTGGTGATGAGCAAGAGGCAGAGGATGATGTAAGAATAGGGGAGGCCTACACTAGGAAGCTATATGGTACAAACAGTAAGTTCCTGTATGTACACCAAACTCAATGGCAGAGAAGACTTCTTGAGCTGAATGGGAAAGAGATATGCCTTTTGGATGCTACATATAGGTCAACCAGATATTCTCTCCCATTATATTTCCTATGTGTGCCTACGAACGTAAATTACATTACTGTTGGAACCTTTGTTACAGAGACCAAGGACAGCGCTTCACTGATGGAGGCCTTGCAGGTTATAAAAGAATGGAATCCCGAGTGGTTACCCAAGTTCTTCATGTGTGACTATGCCACTGAAGAAATCAATGCCCTTGAAAACGTTTTTCCAGGTTTGCAAGTTAAACTTTCTATTACTTTATATATGCCGAATTTATATCAGCCTATAAAATTTACTTCTTACAATTGATGCAAAGAATGTGTTAGAAAAAATACATGTTATAGGTACTTTAATTATTGTGATTTTGATTGTTTTGCAAAGATAACATTGATATATAATATTTTCAAAGTTACCATTAGATTGGTCTAATCCAACACAATAAGTTACACAGTGTGCAATTGTCCTAATACGAGAATTATATACTGCAGCTGTGCTTATGATTTGCGCAGTAAAATTGCATTGACTGTATAATCATATGTCATATACAGTCACTGACTGTATATCGCCTTGTTTATGACGTTGACAATGCGTTTACGTAAAGTTTTATTTATGACGTCAATAAAACACACAGGTTCACAAAAATTTTAAGACGTCCACTCCAAATAAAAAAATGACGGTTTTTACCATAAATATTAATTATACTCTGCTCGAAATTATTAGGACAGTTTTAAATTCAACCAAATAGATTTTGAGATTAAATCTAAAACTGAAAATAAATTAAAAATATTAAGACTATTAAGCAGCTAAAAAAAATTACACTGTAATTTATTAAGACAATATCAGCCAATCTAATTGGGAGAAATTACTCTAAATCTGGATAAAAACTATTATATATGTTAATGATGCAAGAATAATCAGAGGTAACTTTTCTGTAACATAACACTTCCATTTTAGGTTCTTTTGTATACCTTTGTGATTTTCACCGAGAGCAGAGTTGGGAAAGATGGCTTACTGCAGCACATAATGGACTGCACACAGAGAAGACCTATGTTCTTCCACTTCTAAGACCTATTGCTAGGGCACTTAATGAAGATGATTATAATTATGCGTTAGCTACATTAAAGGTATTAAAATAAGATAAGCTTATTCTCAGACATATTCAAATATGGTGTTCATAAAACACTTACAAATTCTGGAAAAAACAATGAACTTAATACAATAACATATTGTAAACCCATTTATTTTCACATATGGTTAACCTTTGCAATTTTCACATGAGGATGAAAAAATAAAGTGACAGTTTTTATACAGATAATGAAAATGCTTGAAATTGCAACACCAGGATAACGTTTTGTGCTGTAGAACAATATATATATTAATAGATAATGTAAAATTTGTACATTATGCATATGCCTGTTGTGTAGTTGTGAATAATTGTCAAGTGTGTAGTTGTTGTATGAAATGATTGTATAGTTTTTAAATTAATATGTCTGTATTCCAGTAAACATGGAAAATGAGTATGTTATTTCTTCTTTATTTCCACTTTAATCATGTCTCTTTCTGATTGAATATAGAGAAACACACATAAGCAACTAACAGCACCCCTGGTACGGGATAACGTTTGAGCTGTATTGTTTATATTGATTATATTTTGATCATGTTGCCCATGGTGGCAAGTGGAAGTACAGTAGAACAATATATATTAATAGATGATGTAAAATTTGTACATTATGCAGATATATGCCTGTTGTGTAGTTTTGAATAATTTGTCAAGTGTGTAGTTGTTGTATGAAATGATTGTATAGTTTTTAAATTAATATGTCTGTATTCCAGTAAACATGGAAAATTAGTATGTTATTTCTTCTTTATTTCCACTTTAATCATGTCTCTTTTTGATTGAATATAGAGAAATACACATAAGCAACTAACAGCACCCCTGGTACGGGATAACGTTTTGTGTTGTATTGTTTATAATGATTCTATGTTTGATTATGTTGCCCATGGTGGCAAGTGGAAGTACAGTAGAACAATATTGTTTATAGATAATGCAATATCAGTACTTTAATTTTATTCAAATAGATGCATGGTGTAAGTGAATAATTGTTAAGTGTGTGTAGATATTGTAAGAAATGGTTGCACTTTTTAATTGTCTGTTGTTAAGTAAATGAAGCTATGTTTATATTTAAGTCTCCCAAACGAAGTTTGGGAAGACTTATTGTTTTTGTTCAGTTCTTATTATTATTATTATTATTCTTCTTCTTCTTCTTCCTCTTCCGCCGCTTTTAAATTTGAACTTGTCCGCACCCGTTCTCCAAAACCGCTTGTCAGATTAACTTAGGGTTTCACAATATGTTAGACTAACATGTCTAGTGGTGCAATCAGGGTTTTGTTTGTGCAATGGGGTTTATAAAGGGGTACTTTGAGGGGCAAAAATAAAAGAGGGTTTTACTATAGAACCCTTTGGGATTTTATTTTTTAAAATTTTCAAATGATTATAAATTGAAAACCGTTTGTGATAGACACAATCTTTTTAATTGAAAATGTTCTAAATGATAAAGCCCATTAAATGAAATACAGGGTTAGTCCCCAGGGGCCACCCCCACCCCCTGCCATTTAAGAAAGTTCTAATACCTTGTAAGTGGTCAAGATCCCTACCCCTAAACCATTTATATTTTGGTTTGTTATGCTAAGATGGTTTGAATGATATACAGGGTTAGTCCCCAGGGGTCATCCCGACCCCCTGCCATTTGAGAAAGTTCTAATATCTTGTAAATGGTCGAGATCCCCACCCCTAAACCATATATATTCTGGTTTGTCATGATAAAGCACATCAAATGAAATACAGGGTTAGTCCCCAGGGGTCACCCCCATCCCCTGCCATTTAAGAAAGTTCTAATATCTTCTAAGTGGTCCAGATCACCACCCCTAAACCATATATATTCTGGTTTGTCATGCTAAGGTGGTTTGAATGATATACAGGGTTAGTCCCCAGGGGTCATCCCGACCCCCTGCCATTTGAGAAAGTTCTAATATCTTGTAAATGGTCGAGATCCCCATCCCTAAACCATATATATTCTGGTTTGTCATGATAAAGCACATCAAATGAAATACAGGGTTAGTCCCCAGGGGTTACACCACCCCCTGCCATTTAAGAAAGTTCTAATATCTTGTAAGTGGTCAAGATCCCCACCCCTAAACCATATATATTCTGGTTTGTCATGCTAAGATGGTTTGAATGATATACAGGGTTAGTCCCCAGGGGTCATCCCGACCCCCTGCCATTTGAGAAAGTTCTAATATCTTGTAAATGGTTGAGATCCCACCCCTAAACCATATATATTCCTATTTGTTATGTCTCGAACATATTGACGTATACGGTCAGTCCCCAGGGGTTCCCCCCACCCCCAATGTTCTAATATCTTGTAAATGGTTGAGATCCCCACCCCTAAACCATATATATTCCTGTTCGTCATGTAATGAACATTTGAATGACGTATAGGGTCAGTCCCCAGGGGTTCCTCCCCACCCCCAATGTTCTAGTATCTTGTAAATGGTCGAGATCCCCACCCCTAAACCATATATATTCTGGTTTGTCATGCCAAGATGATTTGAATGATATACAAGGTTAGTCCCCAGGCATCACTAATGCATATAACTTTACTGGACCAAACCAATTTTCACTGGACGTTGCCCAATGTCAGGCTACCCTGGGAATTACGAATTATGGGAGCTTCGTTTGGGAGACTTCGTAACAGCATCCTGTTACAATCATTTCTTGTTATTCTTTCTTTTTTCGACTTTCATATTGTATAGTTCTGATTGAACATAGAAATACATGTAAGCAACTGCCAGCACCCTTGATACCGGATAACGTTTTGTGCTGGATTGCTCATATTGTTTGTATGTTTGATCCTGGTGTCAAGTGCAATATTATATTTACATGAATTATGGGTGCAGATGCTTTTTAATTGTTTATACATTATAAATTATGATTTTATTTTTTATATTTGGAAGACTGTGTATGTAATTATCTCTTCTTTACAGTATATTTAAGGGGCCTTTGGTGGCCGAGTGGTCTAAGTAGTTACTACTGTAATTAATAACCAGTCAACACAGAGGTTCTGAGTTTGAACCCCACTCGTGTGGGTGCACTCGACTCCAATCTTAAATGACTAGGATTGTCAGTTTTCCTATCGAAGGTCGGTGGTTTTCTCCGGCTTCCTCTACCAATAAAAACTGGCCGCCACAAAATAGCCCAAAAGTGGTGCTTAAAATTGGCGTTAAAACACCAAAAATTAAAAAAATCAATCTGTGTATTTAATATTTTCTAAATATTTAAAGTTCCTGTTCCCTGACTGAAGAATCATTGTGTTCCCATTTGCAGATTGTTTGATTGTAAAATCTGGAAATTGGAGACCGAGACAGGAACTTTGTACTACATTTAGTGCTGCATAACATTATGAATCATCTTTTTATTAGGTACATTGATTGCAATATGTCTAGATTAGAGACTGGCACAGTTAAGGATTTGTTGGCCTTTACTGTTCTGCATTATATTAAGTTACATTTAGGAATTAAAAAAAAAACAGATTCCTAAGCTTTGACATAAGGAACTCCCATAAATACTGAAAGTGAAATGGTTAAGAAATCATATCTGTCATGTCTGTATTCATTGCCAAAACAGATATTCTGTAGCATGCTGATTACATATATATACCAGTATAATGTACATGTATAATAGTACTTTGAAAAAGGAAATTCACTACAGGAAAGTAAAAATCATCATATGTGTAGTAAGGTTCTGAATTCAACTCTTTCATCCATTGTCAATAAACAGGATAGATCTAAATAAGAGGCACTGATGAGGCAAAAGAAATTGACAAAGACTTATCTTTTCACGGTTCTTAATTTATAAATCTTGTTAAGAAGCATTTATGTTCTACCATACATGTATTCATTTGAAGAATATTTCATCAATTGAATACGCAAATGCATACATGTGTGAATGGGTCGAAACTTTCCTGATGACCATTTTAGATTGAATTTGAATTGTATATTAAGATTTTTCTTTATTAACAGTCTAGGCCTAAAAATGAAATGAGAAGATCGTATTTACAGTTTTTATTAGATATATATATATACATATATAATTACTCTTAATATCAGCACAACAATTTTGTCTTGTCTATTCTTTTAAATTTAAATCCATAGGTCATTTCGAAATTACTGTCATCAGGAAGGTCGCAGGGAGTTTGTCTTTGTTTTAAAATAAAGTAAATATAAAAATTGTGTCTTTTGTCTTTGTTTTTACATTTTTCACACAGAACCAACCTGGTTGAAGCTTGTTAAAAAGATGTAAATTTTGTTTTAAAAAAAATGTGGGGGACTGATATACACAGGTGAAATAGTAACCCACCTTTCTTCAGTCATGATATATAGTGGAGGTATAGTTAAAAATTAAATGTTTAGTACATGTACTGTTTTCCTAATTAGGGCCCCGCCGAATGGCAGACGCCATATAGTGATCAGTCTGTATGTCCCTAACAAATTGTGTCCGCTCTATATCTAGAGAACCGTTATGATTTCAAAGTTTATACTCGACATGTATATTAACCAACACAAGAGGGTGTGTCATAATGTATGTACAACTTCCTAGGTCAAAGGTCAAAAACTTTGGTTTAAGTTGACAACCCCATGTCCTATGGTAAAGATTGTGTCCGCTCTATATCTTAAGAACCGTTATGATTTCAAAGTTTATACTTGACATGTATATAACCCAACACCAGAGGGTGTGTCATAATGTATGTACAACTTCCTAGGTCAAAGGTCAAGGTCAAAAACTTTGGTTTTAGTTGACAACCCCATGTCCTATGGTACCACACATTATTCACAGCTGGGCACACAGAGATGGCTCCCATCTCAATGATATCTAGTTCTACATATATTTGTCCCTTTCTTTATGTGTGTCAGTATCTGCATGTACACGTATGTGCTATTAATTTTGTTGTAAAACACAAATGGATTTAAATCAAAGAAAGTATAAAGGATTGTGTACTATAAAGAATATCAAGAAAAAGTAACAATCCGGTATTGTTAACTTCATCCATACATAATGATATTTAAGGCTGTGAAAGAAGGTGAGACAGGACACGAAGGTATGGATTTTTTTTCTGTTGAAGGATTAACGAGCATGATCATGATGATGAGACCATTCATTTTTATTAACCACAAAGTTCAAAATTATAAATGATGATGATCATATACATGATATATGGAATTTTCTATTGTTTCTTTCATATTGTTACATTTACATGTTATGATATTGTACAGTATTAAAATATAATCAATACTGAATTTCTTTAAAATATACTCTGGTTTGTTGTATATCTGTAGCAGATCAAAAAAGGGGGGTCTGGGTTTTTGTCGAGCCTGCGACTTTTGTCGCAAAAACGAGACATAGCGATCCTACATTCCATCAGCGTCATCAAATATTCACTCTGTGGTTAAAGTTTTTGAAATTTAAATAACTTTCTTAAACTGTCCTGCATTTCAACCAAACTTGGATAGAAGCTTGTTTATGATCATAAGATAGTATCCAGAAGTAAATTTTGTAAAAAAAAAAAATCCTGTTTATCCGCATTTTACTTATAAATGGACTTAGTTTTTCTGTCAGTTAACATTACATTCACTCCGTGGTTAAAGCTTTCAAAATTTTAATAACTTTCTTAACTATCCTGGATTTGTACCACACTTGGACAGAAGCTTGTTTATGATCAAAAGCTAGTATCTAGAAGGAAATTTTGTAAAAATTTATTTCCTGTTTTTCTGTATATTACTTATAAATGGACTTAGTTTTATTCCAGTTAACATTACATACAGTCTGCAGTTAAAGTTTTTAAAACATTTATTAGCTTCATAAACCTTCTTGGATTTTTACCAAACTTGAACAGAACTTCTTACAATCAAAAGATAGTATCTAGAGGAAAATTTTTAATAATTTTTTCCCCATTTTTGTTGAGCCTGCCACTAACAGCAAAAGTAGACGAGACACTGGGTTCTGTGGAACCCTTACAAATTTTTTTTCAAAGACTAATGCTATTGTATGGCGACTTATGGTTGGAGCCCCCTTTTTATCCTGTGCTGGAACCCCCTTTTTAATATGGCTGGATCCGCTTTCATGTCAATCCTGCCCCATATTTAAAGTCAACCCGGCCCCCTAAAAAAAAAAATTCATAAGGAATAAAGATGTATATGAATTCAATCGACTTGGGCCGGATCAGTTTGGGGCCGTAATGATCTGATACCCTGGATCCGCCCTGTGTATTATCATTCATTACAAGGGTGTTAATAGGTTTAAGGATGTTCGTTCCTCTTGTTTTTGAGTTTTTGCCAGATATTCGGAATCCTTTGGTTTTATCCATGCAGTACCATTTTAAAATTTTGCCCACTGACCCCTACTTTTTTTTTCCAATAATTTGATATTTTTTTCTGCTTTTCTAGTTTCTTTCTTTATCTATCAATTTAAAACATTCTTTTAAAAAGCTTGTTATTTTAAAACAGAGAAGCAAACATCCTTAACAGAATACAAGATAACTATAAAAAAATTAGTATAAGGTCAAGACATAGTATTGATAACAGAAACAAAGGATAGTGAAATGATTATTTTATAGTGAATAGAAAAAAATTACAGCATACATATGTCACATGTATGTACCCCTCTCGCCACCCTCATTAAAACATATTGATATTTGAACCTTTACTTCAAATGGTTCCCTCTTTTTTTTTTGAAGTATGCAATAAGGGAGCTACCATTTGATTTTTAGGGGGGGGGGCTAGGATGAAATTTGATAAAAATAGGCAGGACAGGAGTTTTGAGTAAAAAAGGATGAGACACTTTGCCAAAAAAAAGGCAGGATGACAATTCAAGTAAAAAAAAAGTCAGGATAAACTAAAAAAAAAAAGGCAGGACCGAATAGAGTGAAAAATAAAAAGGCAGGACAGAGATTACAACTAACAAAAAAGGCAGGACAAATTTTTCATCCTAGCCCCCCCCCCCCCCCCATAAAAATCAAAATTATGGTAGCTCCCTTACACTATTTCAAGAATTACACATGGTGGTATAGGAATGGGGGGTCTTTAATTTTCACTTCCCTCCACTAGGGTGGTCAGCCAAAAGATGAAGTTTAGAGAAAGTGCATAAAATTACATTATTATAAAAGAGCACAAAAATATACCCGGACTCCCCTACCTCCCGCTTCCCACCCCTCATTCCCAGCACAGCAGTATCTGCGTTATGGATTTCCACTGCAGATCAAAAGTATAGCTGAAGATAGATTCCCAGGTTCCCATTATTCCTTCCACCCCTCATAGCAAGTCTGTGCTTAATTGTTACAGTTGTTTATTTTAATCAACATTATCTACAGAAGTTCATAATCGGAAGTAAGAACAACATTATCTTCTTTACAGAAGAGTTCATACGAGAAAAATAAATATAAAATACATAACGGATTTTATTCCGGAATCTGAGAAGCCTCCATAGGATATGCGGGAAAACAAAAAAGTCTGAAAATAAAAAAGTTAAGGATTTTGAGTTCATTAGTAGAATGAAAATTTCAGGAATTTTTCCCAATTTTTTTTTTTTTTATTGAATTTTCAAAGAACTTATTGTGTGATAAAACTTCAAAAAAGGGATTTTTTACCAAGAGGAGCCACATCACAAAAGGATTTTCGGGATATGGTAATTTACGGAAAAATGAATCTCACTTCGTACCCCGAAAATTTAACCACATATGTGAAAATGTCTCAGCTTCGAAACGAGCCATCATACATATCCAAGTTTACGATATGGACTGAGCTACAGAAGAAAACGTTACCATTATCGCCTATGGGAAATCAATTGCGCATATTGACCCAGATTCCAATTTGGGGATATCTTTTGTAAGTTACAGAGACCAAACACATGTAGCATATCCCAACAATGGACAAACAATTGACTTATAAAGAGTAAGAAACATACATCCTGATCGATATATATTCGAAAGAATGATGAATTAGAGATGAGACTTCTCTGTGCTTTATTAGCAATACTACTTATATTTTTTTCAAACTTTAAATTTGACTCAAAAGTTATTCCAAGATACTTTTCTTCATTCATAATTGATAAAGCAATAATTAGTTAAGTAGTTGTCTGAATCATTTAATATTGTATAATGATATTGTTAGTCATTGTCAGGATTAAAATGTTATACCTTACATTTAGCAGCATCAAATTTTAACTTTGAAGTATTTGACCAGTCTCATAATCTGTCCAATTTTCCTGCAACTTACTGTGCTTATTATCTGATGAAACTTTAGAATAAATCCAGCAAAAGGATAAATACACAATCATGACAATTAAGTTATTGTTTTGCAATATTGTCATCTGTCTTTTTTGGCACATAATTCAGGTACTAAGTGTTAACAGGTTTACACATGTCCTGGAGTCCTGGACACATCATTGTCTGTCAAGAAGCCCAATATCATGAACTCATGAGTCTGTGGGATGCGTCTTGGCTACAGTGACTGTGTGCTAGCATCATAAAGGTTATCCATTACCTGTCAAAAAGTATACAGCTAAAATATGCTTCTTGTCAATATTTTAACGAGAAATTAACTGTCATTTTCTTGCATGATTGCATTAATGATTGCTTTCAATGAAAAAACAAAAAAATAAACTATGTACCCTGTATAAGAAAATGCATGTGACATGATCGTCTTTTATAAGGTTAATATATAAATTACAATTATCAGTAATTTGCCTGAAACAATTAACAAAGTAGCATTATTCTAACCTGAGCATTTTCTGCAATAATTTGTTTTTCTTTATTCCCCATTATATTGCTATTTTACAATTTAAGGGTTTTGAACATGTTCATATATATATTTGAATACTAGTAATGTACTTTTTCCAAATGAAGAATCATCATTCAGAGTACCAGTTCAAATAAAAACTAGTTACTTAATACTTTTTCTTGTTGAAAAATTTGAAATGCCTCTTTCTGGAAATTATTAAGTCAAACTCACAAAAAAAAAATACTACACCTTCCTCTTAAGATTCTTCTTGACATTCATATCAAAATGTTCATAAAAAAATGAAGATGTAAAAAATCAGCACACCTTTTCAGAGTAATTTGCATTGATATTAAGAAATTCTCCATCTTTGGGCAATAGAATAAAATCTTAATATTAAGATTATAGAAATGGAAATAACCCTATAAACCATTCATCTTCATAATTATATCGGAAATTTCATTGCATTTGCTCTCAAATCTGCATTTCTCTATTAACGATATTTATAAAAAAAAATCAATCAAAGAACAAACAATTTTTTTTAGTTATAATGGCCATTGACAGATACAATATGTACAACGCGGGAGAGGGGTGGGGGTGGGGGCATTGGAACTGTTATTTTAATCAGTTTGTTTTTGCCGTTTGAATAAAATAGGTTAATGAAAATATCGTTGTGTAGCTTGTTTGCGTTCGAAGTGCTTTTCTGGATTAACCTTCATCGAAGCACCGATCATTCATTCATTGTGGGGCCACAGTTTTTTGATTAATCGTTTGATTGTAAATTTTAAGAAAAAATAGTAGTCTTTCATTTGCAACAATGGCAAATTTCTATTTGCTACTTGGTTCTTCCTAATCAATGAAATGAACAGAATAAGGTTGGAAATAATCTATATTCTTCCAGTTGACTTAGTTAATCAAATATATCTGACAGCTATCCAACATTTCATATTTTTTATTATTTTTATAGATATTACAGGCAATGTATTGTCTTCATTTGATAAGAAAAGAAACTTGATTGGTTTCTGGTAAGTAAACATATATATACATTGTACATTGTCTTTTTTGATGTCATATATACATGATATAGGAATATAGAAGTAAGGAGATGTGGTATGATTGCCAATGAGACAACTATCCACCAAAGTTCAAATGAAGTGGATGTAAGCAATTATAGGCAACCGTACAGCCTTGAACAATGAGAAAAACCGTGTGGTCGGCTTTAAAAGGCCCTGACATGAAAAATATGAAACAATTCAATTGAGAAAAACTAACGGCCTAATTTATAACAAAACAGTTTACGAAAAACAAATATGACAGACATGAACCAATGACAACCACTGAACTACAGGCTCATGACTGAGGACAGGCACATAAAGAATGTGACGGGGTAAAACATATGTTTGTGAGCGCTAAACCCTCCCCAAACCTTGAACAGTGGTGTAACAGTACAACATAAGAACAAACTATAAAAATAAAAAAATGTTTTAGACAAAAGTATTGAAAATATACATGTATTATGATCGAATAAATGAATATA